ATCTCTAAAATTACTTCTCTTTCTGACATTCTATGAGTTGAAGATATGTATCGGAATGAGAATTTTTATCTAAAATATGTGTTCACAATTCAGTTTTCATCTAGCAGTCACTTGCTGACAATGAAAAATTTCCACAGTTCACATATATATATGTGTGTGTGTGTGTATATATATATATATAGCCTTTATATTTTAATGTGAATATAATATTAAAAAATGTGCAATAACTGATTTTTTACCTTTTTGTTAACAGTGTGTTGCTGTTGGTTCTTTCGTTGTTTAATTAGGAGTTTAGGATTGTAGCATTCTTGTCAGCAATTGAAAGAATCAAACTCAAAATGTTATGGGTTGTTTTATACATATGTTAAACCTTGTCAGCATGAAAGAAGGAGCAAGGGTCCCTGAAAGTCCCTAAGCCACAGTGTCACCGGTTTATTTTTTCATAGGTAGTACTCACTCAAAAATCAAAATTCTGTTCCTCTCTTTTCCAAACTGTTCCTACACAGTTTGTGTTGGGCAGATCCTATTATTTTACAGATGCTCTTGGCATAACTACCAATGCCAGGAAGCAAACTTGACCACCATCTCAAAAAAGAGGTGGGGGGTAGTTGTTTTTTAATCCTCAAACCCACCAAACATTTAGCTCAGTCATTCTTAAGTCTAGAACATCATTAGCACAGCATTGTCTAGAACATAGAATTTTATGGAGATTTTTTTCCAGATATGATTATGGGGGGATCCCCAAAAATCCTGTGTTCTGTGATGTTGCTTACTAGGCATTATACCAATAATCCCAGATGGTATTTACTGGTTCAGATCTTTGGCTGCCCAAAGACATTTATAGAATCTGCTTACTCATTTTGGGACTGTAGATGCAGAAAAGAGTTTGTACATTGTGACTAGTGAAAATTAATATTTCCTCTATTATCTACTTTAATTTTATTATTATTTACTCTAATTTTTTATTATTTAATAATGGTAAATAACATTTGTTATTTACTTTGCAATGTGGTTTGAGCAGATTGAGTTTCAGGTAGAGAGATGTCTGTGTAGGAAACTTGCCATAAGCCTTTCAGGAATTGGGGCCTAGAGCTAGTGAGGTTTCATATAGGACTAGACTGAGGCACAGCCAGCTTCTGTAATGACAGGTTTTTCAAGAGGAGTAGAGCACAGTGACAGTAATGAGAAGTGTTCTTTGATGCCACAGCCTTCTTGGAGTGAATCAAAAACGAGTTACCAGATTACAAAGAGACTAACATTTGATGTGCTATATTCTTTCTGTGTCCCTTAGAGCAAGAAGACAGTAAAATCACTTTCAGAAGCCACTTTCTTCCTTTCTGAATTAGAAGTATGCTGCCCAAGAAATGATCTATGTCTATTTCTAGTTCTACCACTTCTACCTTTGTTCTTAAGTGGCTCTTGGTTTTACCTACATGTCTTATCCTTGCAGCTACATTGTTAAGCACATCTGGGACAAGAACTATTGTTGTTCCTACTTCCTGTAGAATACCTGACCCAGTGCTAGGTATCTTCTAGGGTTGGTTGGTTGCAAGATGAAAGGTAAACAGCAGAATTATCTAGAGGCTGCTCTGAGAGTGAAGACAGACCCCCTTTATCTTCAGTTATGCTTAATTCATGTATTCATTCTTCATATTTGTATTTTTTTTTTAATATTGGAATGTTTTTAGTGAAGACCTTAAGCAGTTACTTTTAAATGTATTTGAGCTTATACTCCTTCTGGGAGCTTCCTGTCAAAATGGAGAGACAGACATGTCCACGAATAAGAAGGCAAACTATGTTTACATTGTGGGTAAAGTGCTTTGGGAGTGGGAGCACAGAGTGTTACTGAGAGGTGCTGGGAAGGTATCAGGGAGCAAAATGTATTTGAGCTGTGTTTTGAAGGTTGAGTAGGTAGCATTTGATTTTTGTTTGCTTTTAAATTTCTAGGTTATTGTTCAGTCTACTCTCCACCCCCCTTGTAAGATACGCTGTCAACATATGAACATTAGTGTCTTTTATAGTTGGTGCCCCTCCTATGGCCTGCAGAAAACAGAGCTCCTGCTGATGGGTGGAGGCCTTTATAATCCTGTACTACCCCCTAAAAGAGCAATAAAATGGGAATCAGAGGACTTAGACATAAGCCCTGACTTTGTCCCTTAGAAGCTTATGGTCAGGGTTGGGGAATGTTTGGCACATTTCCTAGATGACCAAGAACTTAAGAAGTCTGCGGCCCCTGGAAGGTATGGGAATTGAACTAAGATAGCCATACTGTTGGATGACTGTCTAAATGGTACAGAGAAATATAGCAGGTCATAAAATGTCAGCTCAAATATTTTGCTTAGATAAGTCAAAAACCTGTATGCACATACTTGTATATTAACGGTCATATTGATATTGGTACGTCTCTGTTAAATGAAGAGACCAATTCAGTGATATGTAGGACTGAATATAACATTAACAAAAAATTCCAATAAAAATACAGCAATTTTATAGGAAAGATGACCTTATACTTCCCTTGTTAGGAAAATACTCCATTGTTTATGACATTCAAATTTGATAAGAATTTCTGCTTACTGCTTTTCAGATGAAAATATAATTCTGAAAATAGTGGTAAAAGCCTTTTTATTACAAATAAAATGTTTTTTTAAAACTTGAGTTATTTTTTATTTCTCCATTCTGTTTCTGCAAAAGGTAATGATATTTCCCCAGACAAAAGACATTTTTGAAATGGAGTTAAATTGTTTTGAGAATAAGATTTGCCTCTGTGTCCTATACTGTATTCTGTCTACCTATGAAAAGACCTTATCGTCCTTGTAGCAGCTTCCTCTGCATGTCTTGGTTGGGCTTTTGACAAGCTGTGCAATAAAAAGATTAGCTAGTGAATTTTCTCATTCTGCTAGACAAATTCTCGTGTGTATGATTGCCTGCCCTCCAGTTTCTTCCCATGGTGCAAGGTACTGTTGTGCTGCTGAGCTTGCTGCCTTAATGGCATCCTTTACCAACTACTGTAGGCTTTATAAAAACATCAATTAATAGGAAGAGTTATGATATGATTTTGGAATGCCTGATTCCTTTTTTTTTTTTTTTTTTAAGATGTTACTTATTTTTAGAGAGAAGGGAAGGGAGGGAGAGAGGGAGAGGATCATCAATCTGTTGCCTCCTGTGTGCACTCCATCTAGTACTGAACCACACCCCGGGCGTGTGCCCTGACCAGGAATCAGTTGGGGACCTTTTATTTTGCAGGATGACGCCCAACCATCTGATCCACACCAGTCAGGGCAGAATGTTGGCTTCTAAGATGTTCTCAGCTACTTAATGAAATATACTCAAGAGTTTTCTGCTTTTTGTTTTTAATCAACCTTCATGCAGTTTGCTTTCTCCATAATATATGTGTTTGATTTTAAAAATAATAGATTTTTTCCCCCCAAATACATTTATCACATGGCATTATGAACCTCTGTTACTGCGCGCCTTGGTACCTGTCTGTTTGAGAGGCATGGGACTTTCTGATTCAGTTGTTTCAGAAAATTCAAATGACTTAGTATAATTTCCTAGAATTTTTGATAAAATGAGCCCTTTTTCTGTCTTACGATTCCTTTTATAGTAACTTTGGACTAGTTGTTTACCTTTAGTCTTATTGCCTCTGTGGTCCTATACAAAACCTTATAGAATACAGCAATAAACAGTACAAAAGAGTTTGAATGTCTACAATGAAAAACTCCAGAATTAGTCTTCCAGCTCTGTGGTTCTTAACTTTCTTAATAGTTATTATTAACATCAACATTAAATCAGTTTTTATCTAAAGTTAATAAAGGAATGTACCTAAAGTAGTAGCCACAAATTATGGGAATTTTATGATTTTTACTTTTTAAGAAAGAGCTAAACTTCTTTGAAAATAAAGAAATTAAATTTCATAGCCAAAAAAGCCTTCCCTCCCCCTCCCCAAAGAATGGAGACAGTTGAGGAAGGGAACGTCGTGAACAATTGCTGGTTTCCAGGACGTTGGAGAAGTGAAAGGGAAGACCTGATGTCTGGTGCTGTCTAAGTGGTGCGATAAAATCAAGTGGAGAGCGAGGATTGTGAAGTCAGATGGACTCAACTTCAAATCCCGAGTTGGATTTAAGGAGCTGTGTACCCTTGGACAAAGTATTTATTCCCTTTGAATTTCAGTTTCTTCATCTGTAAAATGGAGATAAGGAGGCCCACTCCACAGAGCTGATGGGAGCATTTCGCACGTATGGAGCATGCAGCACAGTGCTTGGCCACGGTGCCTCTGAATATTAGTTCCTGTTCCCTCACATCAGCACCCCTTAGAAGTCATTTTTACTTATCTGGGTTTTTGACCAGCCAGCATTAAAGCCATTACCTCAAACAGCTTGAATCTAATGTGGTACTCACTACTCTGATATGCAGTTTTAGTAAAAGAGAAAAAAAAGACTCCCAGTTTTGTAAATCATTGCTAAGATTAATAGGCTTGACAGAAAGGCTTTGTTTTTTGCATGTAGAAATTTCACCTAAATTATTCCTATAATCGTTATACATACCCCCCTCCCCCTTTTTTATTCAACATGACAAAAATATAGAATTGGAAATAATGCAGATGGTTTTCACTGCATTATACAAAAATGTGTTGGCTAGGAATTGAAAAATAGAATTTTCACAGTTGAAATGACTGCTTTTAAGGAAATTATGTTTGCAGCATACTGCAGAAGAATAATAATGATAGTGGCGATGGTAGCATTATGCTAGTTCAGTCACGTCAGCTCTGTGAGGTGTAGGTACTGTTAGCCTCATTTTGAAGATAATGAAACTGAAGCACATTCCCGTTTGTAGAGTTAGGAAGTAGCAGAACCAGGATTTGAATCCAGGCAGTCTGACTCCGAAGCCCGGGGCCTTAACCACTGTCTTATCCTGGGAGGACAAAGACAAGACAATCCTTTAAATCCGAACAAATGTCCTAAAGCCTTGGCAGCTTGTTTACTTTTAGGTTTGCTCCACAGGTATTCGGAGAGGAGCCTCACAAAGTGTATTGGAATTACTATTGAGACCAGACCTGATTATTGCATGAAGCGGCATTTAAGTGACATGCTGACCTACGGCTGCACAAGGCTGGAGATTGGGGTGCAGAGTGTCTATGAAGATGTGGCCAGAGATACCAACAGGTAAGATGGTGGCAAATGACCTTGCACAAGCCTTCCTCTACTCCCACCAAGTAAACTACGCTCCTGCTCATTCTCCCGTCTTCCTGCCACTCTGAGAAAGGCCTAGGCACTCCTCCCTTCAGAGTCGTTCTGTCTGTGCTCTGAACTCCATTCTCTCTTTCGGTCTTTACTGGCTCTTTTCTAGTTGCCTCTACACATTCTTCTATCTCTTCCTGGTCCTGCCATAAACAGCTTTTCCCAAAATGGAAAACAGAAGGCAGGTCTCAATATCTCCTGCCAAGGCTTTAGGAGAGAAGGCAAAGGAGAATAGGAACAAAGAAAGGGGTTTGAACAGGAAGGAAGTCAAGGTGAGATTTAAGAGATCAGTTTTTGTGAAGCAGGTGCCAGGGTAGTGAGAGAAAGGTTGGTGGCGTGGTGGGCATGGGCTTTGAGAAATGTAGGGCTGTAGGGAAGGAAAAATATACAGATTGATAGAGCCATGTGATGTTCTCTTCCCTCTAGAAAGATATCACTGAGTTGAGGAGAAAGGATACACATGAAAGATTAGCTGTGTAAGGATCTTTGTAAATAATTGGTAAATGAGTAAAACACAAGATTTCAGGAGTTTATTAAGCAGCAGAGATCGGTGACCTAGGGTGGTGAAGGTGGCTTCAGGAGGTAGGTTGAGTTGACCTTAAAGCCTACTTTTTAATAGGATTTGTGTAGACACGACTGGGGGCTGTGCTAGGAGAGGGAAGTGAAGGGGAAGTAGAGGAACATACATGGGCAGCACCTTAGGTCCAGCCAGGCAGAATGCCAGGCTGAGAAGGGCCGAATTTTTCCTTTAGGTAACAGAGAGCTATTGAATATTTTTGAGCACAGGGAAGGATCTGATGGGCACCAGCTTGAGAAAGATGAACCTAAATGGAATGCGTTCCAGTGGGTGAGTGGGCTAATGGGAACGCTGGTGGGACCGCTGCCGTAAGGAAGGTCTGCGCGGGAGAGGGGCCTGTGGAGATGAGAAGAGTCTCTTGAAAGTGAGGGAAGCTTTCTGAACAAAGAGACATCTAACTTACAGAAAGAGTATGAGTTAAGTAGGGAAGAGGAAAATTGTTTCAGGCAGAAAGAAAAATATGAGCAAACTGCTGAGCATGGGAACACAGGGCACATTTAGGGAACTTGGAGCGGTTTAGTTTGGTCAGAGGTGTAGGGCATGAGGTAGGAAAGCAGTAAGAGAAGAGGCTGAAAAGGTAGGCAGAGGGGCCCAATTATGAGGGGCCTTAGAAGTCAGGCCAGGGAGTGTGCACTTTAATCCAGAACAGGTTGTAAGCTAAATTGTGATACGAGCATATCTGCATTTTAAAAAGGTCACTTTATGAGGAGCGCAGTGCGGGGATGGATGAAGAATAACAAACTAGAAGGAAGACCGGTTAAGAGTCTGTTGCAAGGATTTAAGCAGGAAAGGATGCCCTGAGAAGTGAATGCAGGGTTTGGTGACTGAATGGAAGTAAGGGTAAGAGCGAAAGGGAAGAGAGGCTTGGAGGGAAGATGAGTTTCATTTTAGATACACTGAGTTTTAGATACTTGTGAAAACTTTGCTTTAGGTCACGGCTGTCCAACAGATCTGTTCAGTGATGATTGAAATGTTTTATACCTGTGCTCTCCAATATACTAGCGCATCTGAGGAACTGGATTTTTTCATTTTAGTTCATTTAAATGTAAACTTGAACAATCACGTCCCTAATGAACTACAGTATTTCACAGTGCAACTTCAGAGTATTGGATATTTATTTGGGTGTGGTTATCAGGAGAGACCTTGCCTAGTCATATAAATTGGGAAGTTACTAGCAAAAAGAGATTAGAAGTTGAAGCCATGGAAATGGATGAGAACATCCAGAGTGAGATGGAGCCCGTGGTCTCCGGGCTTGTTCAGTGGAGAACAGGGACGGTTTGGTGGTGAAAGGACTGACGCGGGGTTCTGTCTTCGGGAGCCCCAAACCTGTGTTTCCCGGGCTGGCTTCCTCCGTGGATGTGGATAAGATGACTTACCCAGCCGGCTCCAGATGATTCTGTCTTAGCACTAAATCATTCTCTCCTCTCACTTTTTTAAGGACCCTCCAACCCACCAGCGTGAAATCTGTTTTGTATGGAGGTGGGGGTGGTGTGAGCGTGTGCGTCTCCTCTCTTCTGTTCTCCTTCTCTTGCTCTCTTTCATTTCAAAAGACTTAAAAAGGAAAGAAAATAAGAGGATGCTGCTTCTGCATGGTTTTTGAGCTCATTATTCTGGTTTTTAATTTAGATACTTACATTAGTAAGCTTATTTTGCCTGATAATACTAAAATAATTTGTGTCAGAACTTTTGAGTAGGTGCATAAGGGAGTTTCTAACATATGTCAAGTAAAAAATGAGGCCGTGGCTGGATAGCTCAGTTGGTTAGAGCATCGTTCTGATCTGCCAAGGTTGTGAGTTCAATCCCTGGTCAGGGTGCATAGAAGAAGAAACTGATGAATGCATAAATAGTGGAACAAATCAATGTTTCTCTCTCTCTCTCTTCCCCTCCCTCCCCCCTTTCCCCTGCCTTTCTCTTTAAAACCAATTTCTTACAAATCTTTTTAAAAAAGAAGTAAAAATGATTTCCCCCCAGATCTTCTCAGAGGTTGAGATGTAAAAGGGACTTTCTGAGATTCCCCCTCGCCCCCAACCGTGTTTTCTTCATCACGTGTTAATATTTTTAGAGATTGTTTTTCCTGTGTTAACCCTGGTGCCCATTTATTTGTGTAATGCATAGTGGATCGTCTTTCCTCAGGGGCCACACTGTGAAGGCGGTGTGTGAGTCATTTCACCTGGCCAAAGATTCTGGTTTCAAAGTCGTGGCTCATATGATGCCTGATCTGCCCAATGTGGGCCTGGAGAGAGACATTGAACAGTTTACAGTAAGTGTTGCCTTAAACCTGTTGATTTAGTGTTGATTTAGAATGCCTCTGCTTGCTGCTTCTGCCCTCTCTGCTCTTTTTGATTACTTACAGTTGGTTATTTTTCCCATTATTAAAACAATGCATTCTCATTTTAGAATAGTGGAAACACAGTAGAGAAGGAAGGGTCACTCAAAGCCCCAACACCAAATAAAACTCTTAAGATTTTAATCTACTTCCTTTTAGGATGTTATTTGGCTTAGGCCTTTTGGGGGGTGGGGTATGAGGTGGTTTATACATAGATACACACAAACACAGTTATATGATAGGTAGTTAATAGCTTTTTCACTTAACATTAAAACAAGCATTGATTCATGTTATAGCCTGGTCTCTGTTAAAATGTTAACGTCTTCAAATATCTGCTTAATTTCCATCAAATAAATATGCCATACTTTGCTTAATCACTTCCAGAATTTTTTAAAATTGAAGATATTAACAGTTTTTTATATTGTAAATAGCACTGAAGATAAACAGTTTTATGCCTATAACTTTTTGTAGTATTTAGGATTATTTCTTAAGGATAAATTTCCTGGGGTAGAATTATCAGGTTAAAGTATAAGTACTGAAAGAGTCTCAGCAAATTACTTGCTATTCAGAGAGTTGTAACTATTTATACTCATTTCAGCAGGGTTATCTTTTTCCCCAAATAATTCTCTTCTGTTTATGTATTTTCTGTCTAAACACATATAAAATATTTTTATGTTTGCTAATTTGATGGATAAAAGTGCCATTTCAACTTTCAGTTTAAGATGATAGTTAATATACTTTTATCTTTAATAATTATGATTTATCTTTTTAGAATTGTGGGTGTTTTTTTTTTCTTCTGACCAATTACTCTGAGAGTTTAAATATTTTAAATATTAATTTATATAAACATGTAGGTAAGGACATTCTGGATTTATTGTTTTTTATAATTGTTACAAATATTTTTTCCAAAGTATCTTTGGCCTTTTACTTCTGCTCCTGTTTTCAAATCTCCTTCTGGTTTGCTTGATGATTTCTTCAGGTGCTTCTAAGCTTAGAACTGCCCTTCTCTTCCAGAATTTCATTAATCAATGAAAGAAAATGCTGTTTTCTTCCACCCTTTCTGTTCTTTGAATTTTAATACCTAATTCTGGGGTTTGGAGGTTTTTTCCTTTTTACTCTATTACATGTTAACTTAATCCATGTTAGCTTTGTCTTGGGAAATGAAATTGGTCAAAACTTTTCATATTCTTAGATCGGGAAAGTATTTTAGGGATATCCTTTTGGAGGAGAAGATGAAAATATTTACCAAGTTATTTTCATCCACAAAAATACTTTTATTTTTGCTTTGTTTATAAAGCATGGAATTCACCATGCCTTATTTGTGAAGTTACTAATTCTTTCCTTTTAAAAAGTTTATTATTTTGAAGCCCGTGAGTTACAACTGAAGGCCTGTTTATGGGACAGCATTAATTCACAGATGCTCCTGTTACTGATTCCCCCATATTGGCTGGGTGGTAGATTTCGAGGCTGTGGTTTGAGGTTCAGTTGCTAATAGCCAGGAACTCAGACTCCAAGCTTAAAAAGACACCTGAAACACACTTTTGTTTAACATACCTCCTAGGTGGACCAGCTCAGTGGAATAGCCAGCATTCATGTAAGTACCTTTGGAAAAAAAAAATGTCATGTTTCAAGTAATAGCAAATAGCTGAGTCTCAGTGTTCATTTTCCTTTGTGTCTTTGAAATACAGTAGTTCCCCTCATCCACTGAGGACGCATTCCAGATCTCATGGGTGCCTGTAACCATGAACAGTTCGGAACCCTATATACACTATGTTTTTTTAATACATACATACCTATGATAAAGTTTAATTTACAAATTAGATACATTAAGAGATTAACAATAACTAATAATAAAATAGAAAAATGACAGCAATGTGCTGTAATAAGAGTCATACGACTGTAGTCACTCATTTTAAGGGATCCTCTGCTGGAGTCCTCATATAGGCTCAGTGCTTTCTGGAACAACACGTTGCTGTCTTTTTGTTTATATCTTATACCCTCAGATTTAGTGCCTTTTCCTTCTTCGCCAAGCACTTACTACACCTGTGGCCATAATGTTTGTAGTATGAGCTGCAACAGCAAAACTAGCACAAACTTCTTTTTCCTTTTCCCCAATTTCATGGACAGAAGAGTCATTCTTACTGTAGATTTTAGCAACGTCAGTATACGATTAGTTTTCTTTCCTTATAAAGTCAGGAACTTTCATCTTTTCATATGAAGGAAGCACTTTACAGCTTCTTCTTGGTACACCTTGTCAACACCACTACACTTGTACTTTGGGGCTATTATTAAGTAAAACAAGCGTTACTTGAACACAAGCACTGCGATACCTGGTAGTCGATCTGGTAACTAAGACAGCTGCTAAGTGACTAGTGGGCATGTAGTGTATACAGAGGATATGCTGGACAAGGGACGAGTCACGTCTCGGCGAGCGACGTCACACTCCTCAGAACGGCAAGCAGTTTAAAACTCATGAATTGTTTGTTTATGGAGTCCTCCATTTAATATTTTTAGACCGTTAAAATTTCAGACCATGGATAACTGAAACTATGGAAAGCAAAACTGCAGATAAGGAGGGACAACTGTAAAGAATAGTTCAGTAATAATATTACAAAGACAGCCCTTCATGCAAATAGATTTATCTACTTGTCTCTAACATTTTTAGAGAAACCCACAGGAATGTGAGCCAACCATGTACCTTTTCTAACTACATCCTAATAAATGAGTGACAGAAGAGCTAAAATGAGAAGTTTGATTTCTCTCTAAAGAAAAATTCTCTGTAAAATTAACTTGCAGGTTGCCTTAAAATAATTTCTACACACCAAAAAAAGCAGACAGCCCAGTAGGAAAATGAGCAAAACAACTTGAACAGGTACTTCACAAATAGGATATTCAGCTAGGCAACAAACCTGTGTTTTCTTCTTATTCCTATAGTTCTTATTCTTTGACCCTATGATGTATATAAGCCATTTTTTTACTCAAATATTTTAGGAAATTTTCTTTATTTGTAGTGCAGTTTTACAGTGCAGTCTCTTGGCAAGAGATTTTAAATTAATTGTGTTAGATATTAAAGGGCTCTGTCATGTGGAAAATTTTTTGTACTATAGTGGTGACTTGGTGCTCTGGGGATTAGTTCAAGGAACCCCTCTGGATAACAGAATCCACAGGCGCTCAAGTCTCTTATATAAAATGGTGTGGTATTTGTACTTAACACACACCCATCCTCTCATAGACTTTAAATCATCTCTAGGTTACTTATAATACCTAATACAGTGTAAATGCTATAAAATAGTAGTTATATGGTATTGTTTAGGGAATATTGACAAGAAAAAGTCTGTACATGATCAGTACAGATGCAACCGTTGTAGGCCAAACTATAGAGTATATGTCAGTAACAACGTAACATTTTTTTCTGAATATTTTCAACCTGTAGATACAGAATCCTCAGATATGAGGGCCAACTGTACAGTATAATTTTCCCCCTTTCATTTTTTATGTTCTCTTCCTAAAACCTATTAAGCAAATGTTGGATATCCCAGATTGATCATATAATATTCTTTTCTAGTTTTATTTGCCCTTTTTTCTGCTTTCTTACTATTCGCTCAACTTTGTTTCAGCCTACCTATTAAATGTTTTTAATTTTGTTATAGCTTTAATTTCTAAGAGTTCTTTCTTATATTCTGGTGGTTTTATTTTCTCTAATATCCTGTTTTCTTATGGTACTTATGGGTTAATAGAACTTTTCTTGTCTTTCTGATGGAATTATAGTTTTTGGAGTTTTTTTTAGGTTATTCTCCTTTATTCAATGCCTCAGTTGTTGTCCAAGTCCTTTTTTTATTTTTGTTTTGATCTGCTTTTCATATTTTAGGCCTTCTTCAAGTTTCTGGTGATCCATAGCCAAATGGTCCCACTTTCAGAGTGAGGGACATAAAAACAAGGCTGCATGCTCTATGTGGCTAGCTGCTAGTACGCCTCACGAAGGAGGTTCATGTAATGTGCTCTCCTTTCTTTTGGGAATTCCCAAATGTCAGTATCTTGAACTCTTAATTAGTGCCATCTGATTAATCCAGAGGTGAGCCCTCTTAACCCCCTGCTTAGGGGTGGGTGGCATGCACACGACACAGAATTGCCGGCAGAGAGTCCCCCCGTTGTGTGCCGACCTTCACTTCCTCTCCCTGTTTTCACTCCTGATCCACACCCAGGCCTTGCCTTGTACCTGAACTCTCAGAATCTGGCGGCTTTCCAGTTTCCAGTGAACACACAGGCAGGTGACTGCTGTAGGCAGGGGTAAGGGGGGCATACACCCCTTCAGGTACCGATTTTGACCCAGTGCTCACCTCTGTCCTGCCCAGTTCTTCTTACTGGTGATTTATGAAATTTTCTGGCACTCCGGTGTGCATGAGCTGGTCTTTCATTCATGTCTGTCCCCCTTCACAGACATTTTATTTGCAGTTTTCTTCACCTGGAAGGTCATTTACCAATCTTCCATCCAATTTCTGGCTTTCAAAAATTTATCATCACCTGTTTCCTCTGATGTTCCCTCTTCTTCCAGGTTTACTTAAAAAAAATAATTCTTTCCTGTTGTTTTACCATGGTTTTGGAAAAGAAACGCATATTTTAATTTTCAGTGTTTAACCAGAAGTCCAGAACAAATTTCTTCTATCATTCTTTTTAAAGGAGTATGTCAGCACATGTCTCCTAAATTTATTATACAAGTATCAGAAGTGCTTTTCTGAAAACCCATGTTCCAGTATGGATTCAGACTAGAAAGAGAATGATTACAGACATGTTCCTTATGAGTGGCTATGGAATATTTATTAAAGACTAGATGAATCTTCAGTATATAAATGTAACAGGGAAAATTACATGCAGTTACAGAAGAATATCCTTAAAACCAAATTGTGCACAAAGAATACGGCATTTTAAGAATATGACTAATCAGTGAGAGAGATCGAGTAGTCTGCAGTTATCTTTCTTTTTAAAGCAAGTTAAACAATGGATGGCTCTGCAAGAATAATATAGCACAAGATAAAAAGCCTTAGTACAGTTCACAAGATACAGTGCTGCTGGCTGAAGAGATGCTAATGCTAGCGTGGGAGTGAAAGGGAACTGTATGAGTCCACCTTCGTTCCTCCATCATATATCATGCAAAATCAAGATAAGAACAAATGAGCAGTGCAAAGTCATGGAAAGGAGAATGCCTTATGTCTTCTTGCTCTGTCCCAAATAAAGAAATATGGCAGCCAGCTGGAATGATACAGTACCGGAAATGACTGTGTCGAAGTAGATGGATTAGATGTGTTGCTCAGTGTCCAGATAACAAATGGACAGTGTGTGTCTCAGATTTGGAATGGTGCCAGTTGGTCTGAGGACAGAACAGTCATAATCAGGGATCTGTATGCTTTCTGCATAGAGCCATAAGGTAAACATTTTAGGTTTTGCAGGCCAGAAGATGATCTCTGTCACAACTTTTTAAAAGTTTAAACAATATATTTCATTATTGAGAGAGGATACAGTTAAGAGGTGAAGGTAGGTGCTGGAAAAATTGTCAGTATCATGATGTTAAAAAAGCGGTAATATACAATTCAATAGGATTTTTTTTTAAGTGAGTCAGCTTATATTTGAAGGTCAGGAAGGCCTCTCTGAAGAATTGACATTTAAGCTGAGGCCTGAAGATCAGCTAGATGAAGAAAAATTGATGAACTTTCCAGGCAGAGGAAATTTCCTTTGTGGAGGCAGAAGGGCAAGGCGGTGAGAGGGGCGTGAGGTGAGAGTGCAGCAGTAGACAGAGGCGGGGTTGAGGAGGGCTTTGGAGGCTGTCATGTACGTGCTTTGCTCCAGTGAGGCTACAAAAACAATGAATTCTGCCTCTCTGCCTCCCCTCCCTTGATGGGAAGGAAAGGCGGTCTAAGGACCACATAGGTACGTGAGAGAAGGTGGGTCAGGTTGGAAGCTTGCATGTGTAATCTCTACACAACTAACGGAGAAGTCATTTTCTGCTTTCTGTTCACAGGAGTTTTTTGAAAACCCTGCTTTTCGTCCTGATGGTTTAAAACTTTACCCTACCCTGGTGATTCGTGGAACTGGACTGTATGAGCTGTGGAAATCAGGAAGATACAAGAGCTACTCTCCTAGTGACCTGATCGAGCTGGTGGCTCGGATTCTTGCCCTTGTGCCTCCATGGACTCGAGTGTACCGAGTGCAGAGGTAGTGTGTTTTCTGTTGTGCCAGAAATAATCAGTGACTACCTGGTGACAATTCCTAATGACAAATAGTCTGATTTCATATTGAGGGGGTTGAATTTTTTTTTTTAAGTAAAAAAGGAACACCTGGAATGCTCTCTATAAATAGAGAGGGATGGAGATGAAAGGACACCATGTCCAAGCCACTTTGCCAGTATCATGTATATTCATGGATTCCTCTTTCTCTTCATTCATGATCCAAGAGGTGGAGCTATGCAGGTAATAGGTATGATGCCTGGTTCCAGGAGCTTATGATCTACAGCGGCATTTCCTTCCCAGGTCTACTTCAGTCTAGGCAGAGAATGAGCATGGGAGGGGCAGTGTGGCCATGTCTCTGTTACACTTGCTCTAGAGCCTCTGAAGATAAACAGTAGCAACAGTTATTCTTTGCAGATATTAATGTAACTATGGAGAAAGTGACATATTCCTGATGGCATGGAGGAAAGCAACTATTTTTTTAATAGAGAGAAATTAAGGTCTCACTTGCAATTTTGAGCTTTTTTTTTTTTTTTTTTTTTTTTTTTTTTTTTTACTGGAAATAGAACATTGGGGGGAAAACTTAGAAGCCATAAAATTACCTATTTGCCTACAATTCGAACAAAACCATTCCTATATTTGCTCTTTATTAGGCACATTTCCACCACCCTGTCAAAAGCTGCCTGGATTCTTGTATTACCAACATTAGTTCCCCTTTATTAGCAGGGTATAAGTCCCAAACCCCGCAGTGGATGCCTGAAACTGCAGATAGTACTGAAGTTTCATTCAGTACTTCATACTGAAAATAGCAAAAAAAAATATGCTATTTTTTTCTATATATACATACCTGTGATAAAGTTTAATTTATAAATTAGGCACAGTAAGTGATTAACAATAACTAATAATAAATAGAACAATTTTAACACTATACTGTGATAAAAATTATACGAATGTGGCATTTTTAAATAAAATGAGGGTCACTTGAACACAAGCACTGCACTGCGACAGTCAGTCTGGTAACCAGGATGACTGGTAAGTGACTAGTGAGTGAGTAGCATGTGCATTGAGGATACGCCAGAAAAAGAGATGATTCACATCCTGGGTGAAAGCGTAGGGTGCGAGTGGCACACAGTCTGAAACTTATATAAATTGTTTATTTCTGGAATTTTTCATTTAATATTTGAGGATGGAGGTTGACCGTAGGTAACTGAAACCAAGGACAGCAAAACCTCAGATAATGAGGGATCTACTCTACAAGGTCAGAAGGTGACGCAAATGCATGTACAATCCATTGCTGCAACTAGTATCCACTGAGCACAAAGATTGCATTACAAATAATACAAAATGGTGACAACAGAGAATAAGCAGAATTATCAACTAAAGGAAAATTACCAAAGCTATAAAATAATGGAGTTGCTTACAGGTCAAAGGACATTTACACCATACTTCTGCCACAGCATATTGATTTCTTAAATTCCTTAAATTATTGGTCCAATTTAAGGATCCAGATTGCCTCTATGATCTGTGTACTTTAAAATACATTTAAAGATACTAAGGAGATAGTTGAGTAGAAAATTCAGCTGTGAGAATTGTGTGCATTGTCCTTCCCCTTTTTCAACCTTTTCGGCACAGTTGAGTCCAGAAGACATTAGGAGATGCTGAACAATGCAGGCATCTCACTTGGAAAAGTAGGGAGCCACAGGGCCAGAGCAGGGTGAGAAGTGTGTTCCTGGGGAGGAGGCAGTGGTGTGGTGCAGCTGCTGCACCCCGAATGCAGTGAAATGGGCATTCTCGCAGAGGGCTGATCTGGGACAGGCTGCCTGACCTGAGCAGGGTGAGGAGGGTGTCTCTGAGAGGGTGCAGAGGAGAGGACAGCAGCCAAACACAGGTTACTTGCAGAAGGTTGAGCAACTAAATATGGCTTAATGTGTAGATAATATTAAGAATAGTGGAAGCTGGGTTTTTTGTTATCTGAAAAGGGAATTACAAATGTGAAAAAGGAGAAAATTAAAGTGTACACCATGGTGTTTTGGAATGGTGGCGGGGGAGCAGGGGAAGAAAGACCATCTGCGTGTGTCCCCTTTTCACAGTCTATTTAATGTCACATTTTTCTTCACATTTTTGTGCTGTTTCTTGGTGATTTCACTGTTTAAAATGGCCCCAAGTGTACTAATGGAAGTGTTGTGTAGTGTTCCTGAATGCAGGCAGGCTGTGATGTGCCTTATGAGAAAATGCCTGTATTAGATAAGCTTCATTCAGCCATGCTTTATAGCACCATTGGCCACAAGTCCGGGGTTTGTGAATATGTATGTGGTTTCCTACACAGAAGCACATGTATTGTAAAACAAGTTATGTATTGATCAATTTTTGAAAATGTTGAAACCAGAGGCACATAGGAACCTAACCCTGTATTCTCTCTAGGAGCAGTGTCAGGATACTCACTCATTAAACGTTCATGGCAACTTTGTGGAACATAACTATCAAAATAATGAGAATTGATTGTACATTGTTTCAAAGTACCTCTCACAATGTACTTACTAATTACAAAGTGGAAAAGAGTAACTTGACCACAAAGAGAAGCCTGGCAGCTGATCAATGTGAATATTAGTAGTAGTAGCACAAAGCAGGGCTGTGCTATCATTTCTGTGTTACTCAGCCAAATTGAGGAACTTGCTAAGAAAATAAATGGCCTATCATCTTCATAATTAGGGGAATCAAGGAAAGGGTTCCATTTTAAAGGAAACTAAGGAGACATGATAACCAAGTACGATGCAAGGTTCTTACTGGATCCTCTTGCTCTAAAGAACATGAGTGAGACACTGGTGAAGCTAGACTGGAGTCTAGGGTTAGACAGGAGTCAAGAGTCAATGTTAATTTCCTGATTTTGATGGTCATATTATGGTTATGTGAGAGGATATCCCTGTTGTAGGAAACATTTAAAGTATTCTAGGGGTGTTGAGACATCTCATTTCAGTTTACTTTCAAGCAGTTAAGGAAAATAGTTATTTGTACTGTATATGGGACTTTTTCTGCTACTTTGAGATTGTTTCAAAAATATAAATTAATACAGTGGAAAACAAAGATGCAATAAGTATTATTAGCCAAGACAAAAGAAAAGATTATTTGCATTTAACAGACTTGGGCAAGCAGAGCACAGTGAAGACCCCACTTCCCAGCAGCAGAACATGGCAGCGTCACTGCTGTGTGGGTCCCAGCCTGCTGGCAGCGGTGGCCTCAGCTGGGAAGGCCTGAGGCACGTACTTGCCTGATTGTTTGTGGGGAGCCCCCACAGACATTGACCCTGGGCGGGGGAGCAGGACAGTGTAGTGGTCGGAGCAACCTTTATGTTTTCTATTATGATTGCAGGATGCACTTTACCAAAATCATCAGGGAACCTTGTGAGGAACAAGATTTATTACAGGTCCTGGAAGGTGCCCGGCAGGCCCCAGGGGCACAGCAGGTTTGGGGGGATGGGAGAGAGCATAGACCTGGAGCCCTGCCTTTATTAGGAGTCCAGGGTGGGGTGCCTAGGTGTCTGTGGGTTCACTCTTTATTGGCTAATTTAAAGTATAAATGTGGGAGTTAGGGTACAGGAAGGGAGACATGGGGGTCACTCATGGTCGGTCACCCAGGTTACCCAGGGCTTTCTAGAGGAGCGAACTTCATGGGTGGGGGAACCTAATTCCTCGTGTGGTCGTTTGCTGGCAGCTGTGCCATACAGCTGCCAACATGTTTATTCAGGGTGGATGCCCTCTGAAATGGATACCTTGGCAATCAAAAACTTAATGTCAAGCATTCATACAACAAGCAAAATGCTTAACGTCAGGCCCTTAAACTACAGGGTAACTAAAAGATAATACCTCCCAGCATGGCAACAAATATCACAGGATAGAAATTTCACAGCCGCAGACATCATAGTTTTCTTACCAAGAGTAGCAAGACGCAGACCACAACAGGCAGGCAGATGAAGAACTTGCGTTCTCCCCTTCACTTTCAGCTTTACTTTTCTCACTGCTATAATCAGTGAATCAAAAGCAACAGGGGTGTTGCTATAGCATTAAAGGCTTAATTTTGTAGACTGAAATATCACAATGGGATGTTATCCTGAAAGGTTTCGAGAAAACAAGAACAGCAAATATAGTCTCTCTAGAAAAATTGCGAAGAGGTCATGACAGGAAGAATTAGGAACATGCACGTTATATAACTGTAAGGTCGGATGATGAGAAAGGCATGATTATGGAAAACCAACCTCAGGGTGATTGAAGACGCCTCCCTGTTCTCAGTTCTCCTTTCATGGCCCTCTCACACACCCCGCCCCCGCCCCCTCCCCCGGGGAATCAGCCAGTAGCAGAGCCCCCCAGCTCTAATTCGGGAAGGCCAAACTGGCCCTTGTACTTCTCCAGCAGCACACCACTTAAAGGGTTCCTGTGCTGCAGGTGATGTAGGCGTAACATTCTGAAGTGCCACTCTATTGCTTTACACATGTGTAGGTGAATTAGCACTTAATGGAATACATGCTGTAAAACAAGAGGTAAAACCTCCTTAAAAGTGTGGAATTAGCAGTGCCTTTAGTGAGTTTGAGGACTGTCATTTGAAGATAGTGGTGACTCAGTCCCTGGCACAGTAAATGCCTTTGGTGGAGCGAGTCATCTGGAGTCTAGCTGTGATGTCAGATTTTCACACTTTGGCACTGATAATTTACTTCACTTTGAATGTGAATATTTTCTAGGTTTTTTAGTATAAAGATTAGAATCTTTATGGTATTTTCCACTTTATATTTTTTGTTTTTAATACAGCTATTATACTGGTATACAAGTTTCCCTTAGAATTCTGCCTTTTTTAATGTAGCCTGCTTACTGTGGACTAATGTTCAATTTAGCCTTTGTTTTTCTATAAGCATGGGCAGAATTTCTTCAAATATATTGTTACTTTATGTTTTGCATTGACTATTACTGAACTATTACTATGAATACCTGCATAAGAATTTAT